AAATGGAGCGTTTTCCTTCCCTAAACAAGAATCATATCATGGAGTCTTCCTCATTCAGTTACATAAGAGTGCAAATGAGGGGGAACCAGGGTGGTATTGTATGATGCAAGAAGTGAAGCCTTGGGGTAACTTGTGGTTATTGTAATAAAATCTGCGAATTGTTGAAGGATTAGAAAATCTTGAAATCAGTGAAATTGTGAGGGTTGGGCATTCATTAGGAGGACAGTCAATGATCTGGATATCTGCTCCACACTCATTTATTCATTTAATAATGATTTAATGAGTACCTGCTATAGGGTATTTATAGTTCTATAAATGCAGAAGTGATCCAAACAGACCAAGACCTACTTATTAATTAGAAAGAGGAAGCAGAGCAAAACCAGTAAACAGGTCATCAGGGAATGGACAAGATAAAGGGCACATTGGGACTCAGCACATTGGGACCCACTGCCAGACCTGAGTTGCCTAAAGCAAACAAACTAGAACCCACATTTTATCTGTGGATCACAGTTACAAGAACTATGACACATCCCTCCAGCTGCCACACATCATAACTGCCAGAGGACTTCCCCTTTCTCCCATTTACATTTATTTTTAAAGAAAAAGTAGAATTTATTGAAAGGATAGTGGAGATTTACAGAATCAGTGGAGGGTGGGGGGGCAATATTGAAAAATGATCCAACAGCCTAGCAGTCCTGAGGGTTGAGAGGCAGAACATCTAATAGTATATAGCTTTGGTTTTTAAAAATAGCTTTGTCAAAGTATAATTGACATACAATGATCTGCACATATTTAAAGGATGCAATTTGATGAATTCTGACATGTATGTACCCATGTAAACACCACCATATCAAAGTAGAGAACAAATCTGTCACCTCTAGAAACTTCCTTTTGCCCCTTTGCTGTCCCTCTATCCCACAAACTCCTCAGAATCTGTTCCTAAGCAATTACTGGTCTGTTTTCTGTCACTATAGAGGATCTTACATCTTCTAGAATATCATATAAATTAAGTCATGAAGACATATTCTCTATTTATTCATGTTACATGTATCAAGAGCTCATAAGTTTTTTGTTTATCCATTAGTATTTCAATGGACATGGTGGTTGTTTCCACCTTTGGCCAATTAGAAAGCTTCCATAAATATTTCGGTAAAATTCTTTGTAAGTATATAAGACTTGATCTCTTTTGTGAAAATATCTGGAAGTAGATTGGGTCATACCATGGGTAGTTACTTAACTTTTTAAAAAATTCTCAAACTATTTTTCAAAGCAGTTGTTCCCTTTTTACTTTCCATCAGCAGTGTATGAGAGCTCCAGTCACACATCTTTGCTTTCGTCTTTCTTCTCCTCCTCCTCCTTCTTCTCTTCCTCCTCCTCTTTCTCCTTCCTCTTCTTTTTGACATTAGGGATTGAACTCAGGGGTTAGCACTGAGCTACATCTCCAGCCCCTTTTTTATTTTTTTTGAGACAGGTCCTTGATACATTGTTGAGGTTGGCCTCAAACTTGAGATCCTTCTGCCTCAGCTTCCCAAGTTGTTGGAATTACAGATGTCTGCCACCATGCCCAGCAGGCCAGTCTTTTAATACCAGGCATTCAAACGAGTGTTTAGTATTGTCTTGTTAAAAGTTTTTATTTGCATCTCCCCTACCTAATACCTTATGATGTTGAACAGTTATGAAGTCCCAATTTTTTTTTCTTTTAATGGTTCATGCTTTTGGTGTGGTAGCTAAGAAATCTTTGCCTAATCCAAGGTCACAAAGCTGATCTCTTAAAGTATTTTTTTAGTTGTTGATGGACCTTTATTTATTTGTATGTGGTGCTGAGAATTGAACCCAGTGCATCACACATGCTAGGCAAGCACACTACCACTGAGCCATGACCCCAGCCCCTCTTAAAGTATTTTAAAGAGGTTGTTCCAGTGTATTCTGGATTGTTTCAGTTCTGATGAGAAATCTACTTTCATTTGTGTATTTTGCCTCTGACTGCTTTTAAAATCTTCTCATTATCTTTGCATTTAAGCAATATGATTCAGTGTGCCCTGATACAGTCTTTCTCATATTTTTCTGTGCTTGGGAAATTCTATGAATTTATAGTTTTCATCAACTTTAAAAATTATTGCCCATCATTTATTCAATTATCTTTCCTGAATGTTCCATGCCTTTGGGGATCCAATTACATGGATATTTGGTATTTGAAATCTTCTTATCTCTGTGTGTTTCATTTTAGATGCTTTCCATTGCTATGTTTTCAAGTTTGCTGATCTTTTCTTTTGAAATATCTAGTCTCCGTTAATCCCATTCAGTACTTTTATACTGAATTTTTCCTTTTAGTCATTATAGTTTTCACCTCTGGAAGTTTAACATGGGTCTATTCTTTTCATGTCTTTATTGAACATGCTCCTTCTGTACTCTAACATAACATCTTGAATATGTACAGTTATAATAACCATTTTAATGTTCTTATCCACTAATTCTATCATCTGCATAATTTCTGGGTCAGTTTCACTTGATTAAATTCCCCCCAATTATGTCTTATTTTCCTGCTTCTCTGTGTGCCTGGTAATTTTCCACTTGGTATTAAATATGAATTTGAATCCGTTATAGGGTCCTGGATATTTCTGAATTCCTGCTTTTGCATCCTCAATCTTTGTTCAAGGACACAGTTGAGTTAATTGGAAATAGTTTGCCTTTCATGTCCCACTCCTAAGCTTCTCTCAGGCAGAAACAGAACAGCATTTAGTGGAGAATTTGTCCCCACTGAGGCAAGACTCTCCTTGTGTTTTACCAAATGGCATGTGAGTTATGAAGTCTCCCACACGGGCTGTTGAGAACTGGCTCTGACTTACCCTAGGTGTTGTTACTTCTTTGGGGGGTGTTAATGTTTATTTCCGATCTCCATTTCTTTCTACACATGAGATGTGAAATCTGGCAGCCTCCTGAACTGCTGACTCCATCTCCACAGTTCACAGAAATGTCTGGGGCCTGCCTGATATCCTATTTTCTGTACCATGGCCTGGAAACTTTATTCAGTCAGTAAGTAAGAACAGTTAGAGGGACTGCTTTATTTATCTCCCACATCTAGAAGATCATTGTCTCCACTGATTGATGTCTGACATCTTGAGAACAATTGTTTGATATACTTTGTCCACCTTTTTAGTTATTTCCAGCAAGAATGTAAATCTGGTCTCTATTATTATATTTTTGTTAAAAGTGGAAATGTTAACTCTGAATTACAGTTTAATGTTGAATGTTACTTTTTTCTGGTTTTATTTTCTGGTATTTTTTTTCCTTCTTAGATGGTAAATTTTATGTAGACATATGGGGAATGAAAATTGCTAGACATGGGGAGAAATTGAAGGGAATGAGCTGATAGATGGTAAAAAAAAAATGGAATGGTTAAAAAAAGGAAAAAGAATTAGAGATGAAATGAGAATAAGTAGTCAGGTCCTGGGAAAATGAGTTGGTGAAGATTATCAAAGTCATTTGAAATTCTACCACTCTTATTTTTTTTTTAATTTTTTGTTGTGGTGCTGCAGATTAAACCCAGGACCTTGCACATGCTAGGCAAGTGCTCTACCACTGAGCTACACCCCCAGTCCTTTTTATTTTGAGAAAGGATCTTACCAAGTTGCCCAGGCTGGCCTGAACTCTGATCATCCTGCCTCAGCCTCCCAACTAGCTGGATTCCATATGTCTGCCAATACTTCTGGCCCACCTCTCACTTTTAAGAGGCCTCAAGGGTGGCTATAGAAGGATTAGAACCATTCATTCTCTTCAACTAGGTAACTTAAATCTGTCAGGGAGATTTACTGTTCTTTACTGGTCCTCGCAGCAAACCAACAAAGACAAAATTTGGAAATTTGTCTTTCTTTCTAAGAGAGGCAAACACCAAAATATGTGATAAACCTCAAAGACTCCCAGAGAACAGTTTGGGTGAGAACTAGATAGCTCAGACAAAAGGTAGACAGAGGACCAGCTTATTGCCCTGATACTCATTGCTTAGATACCTGCCCCTAGGAAGATTATATAGCACATCTTAACTGTTAAAATTAGAATAATAATAGCTATCCTTTATTGAGCACTTGTTCTATACTGTCAGGTACTGCACTAATGCCTTTGAACACACTGTCATTTAATCCTCATAACCCTTTATTATTACCTCTATTTTATAGATGTGGCAACTGCAATTCAGAAAGGTTAAGTAACTTGTGTAAGGTCACACACAACTCAAGTGACAAGACTGGGATGAGCACCAACTCTATTGCTATGCCAAGGTGTATAGAAGTTCTCTCATGTGCATTTAAGGATTCTGTGAGCTGAGTGCCAAGTAGCATGTGGCATAGTTTCACGCTAAGTTCCTCTTCCCTTCTCCACTAAATTCCCACATTAACTGAAACATCACTGCCAATACAACACAACTTCCCTTCCTGATCCCTTTCAATAACCTGCCTGTCTCTTGTTTCTTTGACAGTGAGGGGCCCTTCATCTAGAATTCTATTAATTCTACTGACACAGGTGCACTATGCCTCTACCACGTTGAATCACTCTGAACAACTCCTGTGAGGCTCAGGAGCTGATTGTCCCTGTCTGTGCCTCCCTCTGCCCATGCTCATTCCTGGCATCTCCCTGCACCTAAGCCACTCACCTCTCTACTCATTAAAATGCTGGCATCTGCCTCTCGGGCATTCACAGTCCAGATTCTTGTCATCATTTAGATAATTTCAACTCCTTTGCTCATGATCTAACATTCAAGTCCTGCGATTCCTAGACTTCCTTTGTCTTTGGCCCACTTTAGAAACCTACCTCAGACTTCTAGTGGCCAAAATGGAGCAAGCCCACTGTAGGCCATGTGTCCCCCAGATGACAACTAGAAACTGGTCAAAATGCAAAAGCCAGCTATCCAAGGACAATGGTAAACAGATAAAGGAAGGAAAACAAAACTTGAAGAACTCTGCTTGTATGCTGAAAAGTTTATGTTTTTTTCTTTTTTTATCTGCTAGGGATGATCCGAGGTGACCCCCGTATGGAACCCTGAAGGGACATGGGCAACAGAAATGGAGAGAAACTCTTTCTCCCTGGCAGGAAGACTGGCAAAAAGGGGCCTCTGTCTGCCAGAAAAAGCGGGAGGAGTCCACAATTGTTTTCTTGCTGATTTTCTCTTGTCTTCTTTGTCCTGCCCCAAGAGAAGTCTCAGTTACAGAGTGATACTGTAGGACAGGCACCTGAAACTCAAAGAGAAAGAACTAAGAAAAGAGGCTCTAACCTATGGCCCAGAAGGGGTGAAGGGAATCCCCATTATTTTTCCTGCTATTTTCTAGCTGCTTTGACCTGAAGAAAGTGTCCAGCAGAAATGTGTAACAGCAGAGCAGCCAAAGCTCCAAAAGAAAGAAATCCTGGTTGGCTCAGCAAAGGACCGAGAACACTGGCCTTCTGAATGTGGAGAGTCAGGAAGAAAGCTCAAAGTGAGAGAAGCAGAGAAGGGAATTCCCCAATTCTGCATCTAAACTCACACCAATCCCAGCCTCTTCCTGGGTCACAGAACAGGAACCCAAAGCAGAACAGAAAAGGCCTATGTGTCAGAAAGGAAAAACAGAACCATCTCTACTAACAGATGACACAATTCTCTACATTTAAAAAAATCCTAAAACTATATAAAAAAACATTCCTAGAACTAATAAGTTTAATAAAGTCACAGGGTATAAGATCAAGTTATTTCTACATAGTAGCAATGAACACTTAGAACACAAAATGTTGAAGAAAAAAAAAACAGTCCCATTTAAAATAACACTGAAAACTGGAAAACTTAGATGTAAATCAATGAAACATGTATAGGGTCTGTATGCTGAAAACTACAGAGGCTGATGAAATAGATCATGAAAAACCTAAGTAAATGGAGAGAGATACCATGTTCATAGATGGAAGACTCAAAACTGTTAAGGTATCGGTTCTAAGTGGATCTAAAGATTCAACATAATTCTAATCAAGATGCCAGAGTAATTTTTCATAGATATCAACAAGTTTATTCTAAGATGCATATGGAAAAACAAAGGAAATAGAACAGTCAAAATAGTTTTGAAGCAGAACAAAGTTGGGGAACTCCTACAACCCAATTTTAATACATACTATAATGCTACAGTAAGAAAGGCAATGTGGTATTGAGTAAAAGGTAGATGAAAAGATCAATTAGATATAACAGAGAATCCAGAAATTAGATACAAGTATAGCCAAACATTTTTTTTTCCTGGAAGTACTGGATATTGAATCCAGGGGTGCTATACCACTGAGCTACATCCTAAGCCCTTTGTAATTTTAGCTTTGAGATAGGGTCTTACTAAAAATTGCCCAGGCTGGCCTCAAATGTGTGATCTTCCTGCCTCCTCCCCAGCAGGTATCATTGTAGGTGTTCACTATTGCACCTAGTTTTGCCAAAAAAACCCAATCTTGATGAAGGTGCAGAACCAATTCAATGGAAAAAAATAATAGTGTTTTCAACAAATGTTACTAGAACAATTAAATAGTTAAAAGAAAAATAAAACTATTAGAGCTAATAAATGAATTCAGCAAAGTGGCAGGATATAAAATCAACACGCATAAATCAAAGGCATTCCTATATATCAGCGAAAAATCCTCTGAAATGGAAATGAGGACAACCACTCCATTCACAATATCCTCAAAAAAAAAAATAAAATACTTGGGAGTCAACCGAACAAAAGAGGTGAAAGACTTATACAATGAAAACTACAGAACCCTAAAGAGAGAAATAGAAGAAGATCTTAGAAGATGGAAAAATATACCCTGTTCATGGATAGGCAGAACTAACATCATCAAAATGGCGATATTACCAAAAGTTCTCTATAGGTTTAATGCAATGCCAATCAAAATCCCAACGGCATTTCTTGTAGAAATAGAGAAAGCAATTATGAAATTCATATGGAAAAACAAAAGACCCAGAATAGCAAAAACAATGCTAAGCAGGAAGTGTGAATCAGGCGGTATAGCGATACCAGACCTCAAACTATACTACAGAGCAATAGTAACAAAAACAGCATGGTACTGGTACCAAAACAGGCGGGTGGACCAATGGTACAGAATAGAGGACACAGAAACCAATCCACAAAACTACAACTATCTTATATTTGATAAAGGGGCTAAAAGCATGCAATGGAGGAAGGATAGCATCTTCAACAAATGGTGCTGGGAAAACTGGAAATCCATATGCAACAAAATGAAACTGAATCCCTTTCTCTCGCCATGCACAAAAATTAACTCAAAATGGATCAAGGAGCTTGATATCAAATCAGAGACATGGCATCTGATACAATAAAAAGTTGGCTACGATCTACATACTGTGGGGTCGGGCTCCAAATTCCTCAATAGGACACCCATAGCACAAGAGTTAATAACTAGAATCAACAAATGGGACTTACTCAAACTAAAAAGTTTTTTCTCAGCAAAAGAAACAATAAGAGAGGTAAATAGGGAGCCTACATCCTGGGAACAAATCTTTACTCCTCACACTTCAGATAGAGCCCTAATATCCAGAGTATACAAAGAACTCAAAAAATTAGACAATAAGAGAACAAACAACCCAATCAACAAATGGGCCAAGGACCTGAACAGACACTTCTCAGAGGAGGACATACAATCAATCAACAAGTACATGAAAAAATGCTCACCATCTCTAGCAGTCAGAGAAATGCAAATCAAAACCACCCTAAGATACCATCTCACTCCAGTAAGATTGGCAGCCATTAGGAAGTCAAACAACAATAAGTGCTGGCGAGGATGTGGGGAAAAGGGTACACTTGTACATTGCTGGTGGGACTGCAAATTGGTACAGCCAATTTGGAAAGCAGTATGGAGATTTCTTGGAAAGCTGGGAATGGAACCACCATTTGACCCAGCAATTCCCCTTCTTGGTCTATTCCCTAAAGACCTAAAAAGAGCATGCTACAGGGACACTGCTACATTGATGTTCATAGCAGCATAATTCACAATAGCAAGACTGTGGAACCAACCTAGATGCCCTTCAATAGACGAATGGATAAAAAAAAATGTGGCATTTATACACAATGGAGTATTACTCTGCATTTAAAAATGACAAAATCATAGAATTTGCAGGGAAATGGATGGCATTAGAACAGATTATGCTAAGTGAAGCTAGCCAATCCCTAAAAAACAAATGCCAAATGTTTTCTTTGATATAAGGAGAGTAACTAAGAACAGAGTTGGGAGGAAGAGCATGAGAAGAAGATTAACATTAAACAGGGGTGAGAGGTGGGAGGGAAAAGGAAAGAGAAGGGAAATTGCATGGAAATGGAAGGAGACCCTCATGGTTATACAAAATTACATACAAGAGGAAGTGAGGGGAAAGGGGAAAAAAAACAAGGGGGAGAAATGAATTACAGTAGATGGGGTAGAGAGAGAACATGGGAGGGGAGGGGATGGGGGATAGTAGAGGATAGGAAAGGCAGCAGAATACAACAGACACTAGTATAGCAATAAGTAAAACAGTGGATGTGTAACTGATGTGATGCTGCAATCTGTATACGGGATAAAAATGGGAGTTCATAACCCACTTGAATCAAAGTGTGAAATATGATATGTCAAGAACTATGTAATGTTTTGAATAACCAACAATAAAAATTAAAGGAAAAAAAATTTAAAAAAAGAAAGAAAATAAAATAAAAGAAAAATAAATAAATAAGCTTTGACCTAAATTCAAACTGATATAAAAATTAAATTAAATGGATATAAACATAAAGTATAAAACTATAAAACTTTTAGGAAGAAATATTGACAAACTAGAGTTAGGTGATGAGTACTTAGACATGACATAAAAATCATGCTCTATACATTCTTAAAAAGTAGTAATTTCAAAACCACTCTAAGACTTCATCTCACGCCAGTCAGAATGGCACCTATTATGAATACAAACAATAATAAGTGTTGGTGAGGATGTGGGGAAAAAGTTACATGCATACACTGCTGATGGGACTGCAAATTGATGCAGCCAATATGGAAAGCAGTATGGAGATTCCACAGAAAACTTGGAATGGAACCACCATTTGACCCAGTTATCCCACTCTTTGATCTATACCCAAAGAACTTAAAAACAGCATACTACAGGGACACAGCCACATCAATATTTATAGCATCTCAAATTCACAATGACAAAGCTATGGAATCAAACTAGGCACCCTTCAACAGATGAATGGATAAGGAAAATGTGAGATAGATAGATAGATAGAGATAGAGATAGATAAATATAGATAGATAGATATAGATACACACACAATGGAATATTACTTAGCCCTAAAAAGAATGACTTTATGACTTTTGTCAGTAAATGGACGGATCTAGAGACTAACATGCTAAGTGAAGTAAGCCAATCCCCAAAACCCAAAAGCCAAATGTTCTCTCGGATATGAAGATGCTAAGACACAAAAAAGAGGGTGGAGAATAGAAGTTCATTGAATTATACAAAGGGGAATGAAGGGAAGGGAGGGGGAATGGGAATAGGAGAGACAATAGGATGAATCAGACCTAACTTTCCTATGTTCGTATATGAATAGACCCCCAGTGAAACTCCACATCATGTACAGCCACAAGAATGGGATCCTAATTAGAAAAAGTTACACTCCATGTATGTATAATATATCAAAATACATTCTATGGTCATGTATATCCAAAAAGAACAAAAGAGAGAGAGGGAGGGAGAGAGAGAGAGAGAATGAGAAGACAAGCCACAAACTGGAAGGAAATGACTGCAGAACATCTGAAAAAGGTTTGCATCCAGAATAGCTCAAGAACTCTCCAAACTCAAACAATCCTAACAGAAATGGGCAAGAGTGGAACACACACACACACACACATCACCAAAGAAAAGGTTTAGATCTATACCTTTACATACCTTAATAGCATATGAGTTATTAGGAAATTCAAATCAAAACCACAAGGATGACTATAATCAAAAAGATAGATAAGCTGGGCTCTGTGGGCACACGCCTGTAATTCCAGTAACTTGGGAGGCTGAGGCAGAAGGATTGGAAGTTCAAGGCCAGGCAAATGCAAACTCATTCTTCAATACCTAGTTTTGCACTCTCAAAGCATTTCCCAATCACTCCAGCCAATGACAATTGTCTTCAGATTTAACAATCATGAAGAAGTCAGCAAGGACTTTTGGGAAGATAGATTCAGTGTACATGCCAAATTCATGCAGAATGAAGGGTGAATTGCAAAATAACATCAAGACATTGTTTCCTTTCCATTCTATTCTCTCGAGTGGACAATGGAGTTTTCCAGAGACTACATGGCATGTGTATCTCAATGGATTGAATACAGAAGCAAATATGAGAATCCAGCATCTGTCTTTTATTAAGCCAGTCATTAAAGAGATCAACAAAAATGTGAAACAATGCTCTTCTTTCCATTTTTTTTCTGTTTTGGAAAATATTCACTTTCCTAAAAGGATGCTATTTATGTTAATATATGATGGCTTTGTTATTTCTGTTTTAACATAATTTACAATTGTTTAAAATTTCTTAGTTTTGTTTTCTAATGCATTAAGTACCTATAGATGTGATCTACATTTACAAAAGCTCTTTGGGTGTCCTCAATAATTATAAAATGGGACCCTGAGCCCAAACTGTTTGAGAACTGCTACATCCCATGATTATTTAGGAGAATCGACAGTATGCCTGAGGCTGGAAATCACATTTTCACAAGGGAGCTGGTAACTCAGTTTTCTTCAACAACCTTTATTTCCTTGGAGATACAAAGAAAACATATTATTCAGTTAATCTAATACTGGGGTTTGGCAAAAATCAACATCACTGTGGTTAGAATAGGTCGAGCTGTCTTGTTCCCCCAGATAAGAAGGATAAACCTGTGGCCTTAATGCATTAATCTTCACAGTTTGCAAGAATGGAAAGAGTATGAGGTTTTTTAAATACTGAACTTCCTGTTCTTTCACAAATCTCCTTTGGATTATTTTAATCTGGTTAATTATATACTTGAAGTAATTTTTTCAATTTGGGGGTGGGGGGTACTGGGGATTAAACCCAGTAGCATTCTACCTCTGAGCTATATCCCCAGTCCTTTTTATTTTATTTTGAAACAGGATCTCATTAAATTGTGGAGGCTGGCCTCCAACTTGCAAGCGTCCTGCCTTAGCCTCCCGAGTCCTAGGATTACAAATGTGTGTCACTATGCCTGGATTTTTTTTTTTTTGGGGGGGGGGGGGGTTGAACCCAGGGGCACTTTACACTGAAATACATTTGAAAGCCTTTTTAATTCTTTTATTTTGAGGCAGGATCTCATTAAGTTGCTTAGGGCCTTGATAAATTGCTGAAGCCGGCCTTGAACTTGGGATCCTCCTGAATCACAGGTGTGCACCACTGACTTCATGGTTCAATATGTCTCTGTTGAGACATTCTTGCATCACTTTAAGCCATGGAGTATATTAAGAAGCATCTGTCTGATGACTCTGCCCAGATTACAAATTTTCATACAGCTTGGATATTCACTAGAGGATTCCTGATGAAGATGAGCTGTTGATGATAATGGTGGCGACACTGATATTGATGTACTGATTGATCCAACAAATATTTTTTGAGCATTTAGAATAACACAGGTCCAGTCCTGACACTGAGGATCCAGCATTGGACAATGGAAGCAAAATTCATGCCCTCTTGGTACTCACATTCCAGTACACACCAAGAAAAATATGTGAAATACAATTGTGTATTGTAGTGAGGCAGGAGAAAGGGTTAAAATAAACAGGCAGGAAACTTGGGCTCCTTCAAGGTCAGGTTTCTATTCAGTAGGCCTGAGAAACTACAAACACAAGACAGGCTTCATCAAGGTCAGGCTGACTCCCACGTAAGCAGGAAAACTGATAGGAAGACATCTGCCTGGTACCTGGACCCCCACCAAAAAAGGAAGGGGGGCACGCGTAACCCGACTGAACCAAAGAGTGTGTGAAGAGCTCATGGACACCGAGTGCCTTTCCCAGATTCGGGTAGGGGGCCAGCTCCCTTAACCCTGTAGATCCACATAAACCCCTAGAGGATAGCCACTCTTTGGTATCCCTCTCTTGGGACCTCTCCCTTTTGGGAGCTCTGCTTTCTATTACTTTAATAAATCCTGTTACTTTGCTCTCACCCTTGTCTCCATGGATTTCATTCTTCCAATTCGTGAGACAAAGAACCCAAATCCATACTCCTGTGCTACAGGGAGAAAGTTGTCAGAGTCAAAATGCAATCACTAATGTCAAGTGTTGGGGGAGAGGGGTTCTCATGTATACCTGTCTGATAGCAGGAATTATCACCAATTGCTCTGCCCAAACAACAACCTTGCTGATAAGGCAACTTCTATAAGACATCTATTCAGTAACACCAGTCCTAACCAGAACCTTGAAAGTAGCCTTACTAAACTGTGACCTTACTGTCAGGGTTGCTTCTGTGAAACCCTCTGTATGAGTCCATTTTTTACTCTAATGAAATCTGTAAGTCAGTCTAACTTTATAAGGAGAGCAGGTTTACTTTGCTCACAGTTTTGGAAGTTCAAAGGCATGGCACTGGAATCAGCTCACCTCCAGTGAGGGCTCCTTGGCTGCCTTGCATCAGAGTGGGAACATATGTGAAAGAGAGAGATTACATCTTGAAACAGGAAGCCAGAGAGGCTGAGGTCCCAGGGTCCCTTCTGAAGTGCATACCTCAGTGACCTAGGCATTCCTACTAGACCACACTCCTTAAAGGTCTCACCACCTCCTAACACCACCACCCTGGGGACTAAGCCCCCTTAGGGAAGACACACTTAAACCAGATCCAAAGCAAAGCACTCTTTCCAAGCAATGTCCAACTCACACCCTGCCACCCACCTGTGATAAGCCCTTTAAGTTTCCTCTTATTTCAGCCTCCCTGGATAGCCCATGATCCGTCATAGCACACATAATTATATGTGTGCAATAAATTTCTGGATTATAATCCCTTGAAATATCCCCAGATAAACTCATTTCTTCAGAGAGCTACTCTCTATTGTTTTAGGTTGATGATTGTAATAAAGGCTAGGGGAGAAAAGTAAATCTTGGAAGGGGATAGAGATTTGTACTTTGGTTGCAAAATGCTAGATAGGGTGAAGAGAAGGTCTTAATAAAAGGTAATATTTTTAAAAGACCCCAGGAAAGTGACAGAGAAAGTGGTGACAGAAGAGAAAAAAGTAATTTAGGCAGAAAGAATCCAAAATCCTGACGGCAGGAGAGAACCTAGTGTATTGATAGACACCAAGGAAGTCAGTGTAGCTGGAATGGAGAAGGAGAAGTGGGAAGAAGAGGAGGGGGAGCAGGATGAGGAGGAGGGGAGATAAAAGGAGAGGAAGAGGAAGGGGAGGGGAGAGAGGCTGTAAATACTGCAG